TGTTTCTAGTAGCTTCTTGTTACTACTAGTAAGGCACTTGTTACTAGAAGCGATGCACTTGTTCCTTGTAGCTTCTTGTTACTACTAGTAAGGCACTTGTTACTAGAAGCGATGCACTTGTTTCTAGTAGCTTCTTGTTACTACTAGTAAGGCACTTGTTGACAATTTGCAGTTCTGAGAAGCATGTTCGTGCTGCCCCACTTGCCGGTTCGTTAGGTGCACCTTTTGCCTCGAGTTTCCTTAGCGGAAAAGGGAGCGCTCGCATCAGCACGCGATGCGCTGAGTTGGCAGCGGAGCCTGCCGTAGGTTTTTCTTAGCTTCGCCATGCCGGTGGCTCGAGAGGTCTTTGGTGGCTCGGCGCCGGGCCCTGGACTTCACGCGCCGAGCAGCGTAGCTTGGCGACCTTCCCTGGGTTCCTCCCCGAGCTCGACAGGTTCAAGAGAAGCCCAGCACATGGCCCTCGACGCCGAGGATGACTGGAGATGTGCTGGCTGTGGTTCCATGAACTTCGCTTGGGACGAGGCTCACCGGACGTGGCGCTGCACTTCATGCCAGTCGACCTCCTTTGTTCAGGAGTTTGACGACCCGGCTGAGCCATGGTTAGATGATCCTAGTGACCTTCCATGGATGCATGAGCCCAACCTCCAAGCAGCACCAGGTTTTGCAGCTACTACATCGTCTACCTGTCCTACTCCCTGGCCCACGTCGCTCCCTGGTCGACTTCACCATGGACCTTACGGAGTATTTCAGGTACCCGAACTTGGACAACATGGATTACCAGTTCATGGATGCGCTGGTGCACTACACCCTGATCCTCACGGATTACCAGTTCATGGCATTCAGAACGACGAACGGCATCAGGGACAACAAGAACCACCAGCTCAGCAAGGGCAGCAACGCCCTACGGGACCATGCTCGTTTCTCTTTCCTCGAGCTTTCCGAGGTGATCCCGCCGACCACCAAGCACCAGGACCTCATCCACCTGACTTGGGTCCTCCTGGACCGCATGGCCGCGAAGGGGCCGAGAGCGAGACATCGACCTATGACCCGACTGTCACGGTGCCAAGCAGGCCACCAAGTGCAGCTGGGCGGGCATTCGCTCAGCATGCAATATAAACCACGCAGCCGGTTCAGCCTGAGGCCAAGGCTACATCCGCTGCTGCGCCGACCCTACCATCAGCTTCGAGAAGGAGAAGGCGACGAAAGGGTGGACAGCCTGATGGCACACCACCTCTCGGCGGAGACCCGCCTGATGAGCCTCATGATGATCCTGGACCACCAGATCCACCGATTCCGGCACCTTCAGATGACCATGGACGGACCTCTTCTTCATCCACATGGAACAGCCTGAAGGGACCGATGCACGGCATCAAGTTTCGAGGCGGACAGCCTCCAGTGCCTCCCCAATGGCACTACGACAAGAATGACTTGGCCGCCTTCCGAAAATGGACGAGGTGCATAGAAATGTGGCAGCTCCAGGTCATCAACTACGTTCCCAAGAAAGAGGCCGGCATCCTCCTCTTCAATTCCCTTCGAGGTGAGCTGGAGGAAGAATTGGAAGATGCACCAGTTGAGAGCATCTACCATGCCGATGGTGTGAACTTCATCCTCACCACCATCCAGAAGGCAGTCGAAACTCGCTCAGTCCACTTGAAGCGACAACTCTTGAACAGCTACGAGCACATCTACCGTGGCCCTCAAGAAAGCATGCGTGTACAGGACATGTACGACGGAGAGGCAAGGGGCGCAAGAATGCTTGAGCGCTCCACACTATCAGGTGAACATCAACGCCAAGTTCTGATCGGCACTGGTCAGTCGCTCGACTTCGACTCCATCAAGGACGTGTTGCTCTTCCAGTGGCCAGGGCATAAGGCACTTCCACCGACGCTCGGTCCACCAGGAGGAAAAGGAAGACCTGCTCACCACAATGACCGCAAGGGCAAAGGGAAAGGCAAAACGCCTCCTGCTAAGCAGACCTATGTCACTGAGGTCAATGAGCCCGAGCAGAATGACGACAACCCGGACGACGACCCCGACCCGAACCAGAACGATGGCGATGAAGCCAACGAGGACGGCCAGACGGCCGATGATCCTGAGGAAGAAGACGACCATCAGGATGAGATGGAGCTCGAGCCGCATTGGGATGACCCTCAAGTCTCCGAGATCCTCACCATCACGGCCAAGAAGCTTGCAGGTGTCATGCAAGCTCGACGCTATGGCAACACCAGCTCGGCTCCAAAGCGCTCGATCGCCGAGCGAAAACGGCACACTCACTGCTCAGCCTGCGGACAGCAAGGCCATTGGGCCGGAGACCCTGAATGTGGAGCAAGCGCCAAAGGCAAGAACTTCAAAGACGCGAAGGGCAGCGGCAAAGGTGACAAGGGCGGCAAGAGTTCGTCCAAGGCAGTTCATTTTCTCAACCACTACGGTGGCCATGATGACGTTTTGGAGGAGCCACACCATGTCGCTCACTCCATCTTTGTGTCTCAGCCCTCCCTACCCATGAAGTGCGCCTCATGGATGCGAGAAAAGCTGCGGGCCACATCATTTTGGACACCGCATGTCAGCGACTTTGTGCGGGTCGAGCATGGGCAGAATCCACCAAGGAGAAGTACCACTCATGGTCTATCTACCCCCTTGAGTATGACAGCACAGAGTACTTTGAGTTTGGGAAAGGGCCTCCACTATGCTCAACCTTGTTCTTTCCGGTTCGCTTCGGCCGGAACCTTTGCGTCATGGCCCCTTGTGTTTTGGAAGCCCACATACCTTGTTTGGTTAGCCGGACCTGGGTGCAAGACGTCGGAGCCATCATCGATCTCGCCAACCAGAGGGTCCGCTTCGAGTTGTTCGATGTCACCCTGCCTTTGGTCATGGTCAGTGGACATTTGGGTTTGGATGTCTCCTCCTACAAGGAGCAAGAAGCATGTTTTGTTTTTTGGCACCAGCACCACTCCGAGATCGTTCAGCAGTGCAGCACCGGGCAAGTTCGTGAGTTTGTGCATTTTGTTTTTTCGTCTCAAGCGGAATCTTCCGGACCGCGTGAGACAGGCCGGACGCCTGCGGCAGTCCATGGACGTGGAGAAGCCTCCACCACCTTTTTGGCTATGGAGGTGGAAACACCTGGCACAATGCCTCATGCGCTGGGCAAGGCAAGCGCGCATGTTCAACCGGCGGCAGCCGGTGGTGGAGACGACCTCAAGCGCAGTCCTCGCAGCGGCCAAGCCAAAAGGCCAAGGGGAAGAACAAGTCCAAGAACACGACCACCTACGTGGTAAGCCCCACAGACTGCACCCACGAGCACATCAAGAGATCCGGCAACAAGGGCTTCGAGGATCCACGACTTCCACCGGGCTACGACCCGGACAGCAATCCTCACTATCAGCACCTCCTGGCGATGCAGGAACAGCATGCAGGGGCACAGCGACCAAGAATTCGATTGGGCGTCCATCGACGGCTAGCTGGCAACCTCAACCGTGCAGCCAACGTCCTCGCCATTGAGGCTCAGATCTATGACGACATGCCTGCCGCCGTCGACGTCCCAAAGATTGACATCATGGAGCTCTACGCAGGGCACGCTGACTTGACCTTCCTGGCACACCAGTATGGTCTACGAGCCATGGAGCCATTTGACCTGCTCTACGGCAAGGACATGACACTCAGGAAGGACAAGCAGGCTTGGAGAAGTGCACAGAAGACCTATAAACCGCTCCTTGCGGTAGTCGAGACAGAGTGCACTGACTGGAACATCTTCAACGAGAACTTGAACTACAAGGGCAAAGGCCGCACTCAAGGTCGAGGCACGACGACTTTGCCCACAACGATTCGTCCAGGCGCATGAAGTCTTCTACGAAGAACCTATGCAGGATCCTGCAGCCTGGGTGGACGCACTCAACAGCGTCTGCAAGATCTTTGAGACCACAACGGTCAGGTCCATCATCTTGCCGGACAATGACCCACTTCATAGCACCATCTGTCAGTTGGCGCCATGGGAGATTGTGCGGATTCAGATTGCCAGAGTCCCAGCACAAAGACGCTTTCCCATCGACATCACCTACACCCATCGCGGTGCAGCCATTGAGTACCAAGACGGCAACATCAGCATAGAGGCCGAGGCCCTGGATGGCCATCTTCTGGTTTGGATTTGGTGACCCAAAGAAGGAGGCAGTTGAGCAGCCAACACCAGAACCAGAACAACAGAAGCCGGCACCTTTGACCTCTACCATCGACGTGGTGACCTTCCCAAACATCCCGAATGACGTCCCTGGAGAAGTCAAAGCCGCAGTCAAGAGGCTTCACCTCAACTTGGGCCACCCAGGTGAAAAAGAATTGCTTAGGTTGCTAGCCTATCAGGGCGCCATCTCCAAGCACATGATCACCGCCGTCAAGTACCTCCATTGCGCCAGCTGCATCAGGACGAAACCGTCCAAACCGCCAAGGCCATCAGCAATCCCAGTGGCCAATATGGGACAGTTCAACGACTGCATCCAGACAGACGTCTTCTACTGCAGAGATGTCCTCGGCATCAACCATGCCGTCATCGGCATCATTGACCAGTCAACCCTGCTGCGTCAAGCAGCACGACTCCCTGATATGTCCTCCACGGCCACTCTGGAGATCTTCAGAAACCTGTGGTTCAAACCATACGGATTCCCAAGCGTGATCCGCTCCGACCCAGGAACCAACTATGGCCTGAACTTCAAGCAGTACGTCGAAAGACATGGCATCTGGCTGGACATCATCCCAGCCGAAGCCCACTGGAGGGTTGGCCTGATAGAGAGACGCAATAGCGTCCTGAGAGACATCCTCGAGCGCATCGTGGATGCCGAATCCATTTACACCACAACCGACTTCGACCAGGCCGTTGATGCCTCCATTCACGCCCTCAACTCGATGACCTACTCCCACGGGCGACCTCCATACATGGCCGTTTTTGGCCAGATCCCCAGGATAGCTGCAGGCCTCCTTCAAGATGACAAGGCCTTGGTCTGCCATCCAGAGCAACATGGAGCAGTGCGCCCCGACTTCCTCAGAGCAGAGGCCATGAAAGCATTGGCCGACATCAATACATCACAAGCACTTCGCAGGGCACTCCTGCGCAAGACAGCACAAGGACTACAGCGAGACCTTCAACCGGGTCAACCCTGCGCCTACTCGCGCTGGCAGGTCCCTAAAGGGCGAAGCACCAAAAAGAAAGGGGCATGGATCATGGCACGATTCCTGTCCTACGACCCAGACAACAAGAGTGCATGGCTGCACTCCGGCACAACGACCGTTCACGTGGCATTGGAACAGCTACGTGGCGCAGTTGGCTTCGAACACTGGCAGCCAAGCAGAGAGGATCCCTCAAAGACGCACCAGCCAACATACGCCAAGACCTATGGCAAGAACACTCCACAACAGCACCTCCAGCAGACGAAGACTCCTATGAGTATCCGCTGGAAAGGCTGGAAGACCAACCACAAGCATCAGCAGAGCAGCATGACACCGCGGCAGCTGCAGAAGCTGAAGCAGAGCAGCCACAGCCCCTGGCACTACCTCTAACACCACGTGTTTCGGCAAGACCTGAGGCAGTACAACAACTTGCTGAACAGTACATCCAGCAAGACACCAGGACTACTACTATGAACGTGGAAGGCGACATCCACATTCACTCCTACCCGACATCGCCTACAGGACAAGCCGTCACACCTCTGGATTACCACCCAGGGCGCTACGGACTACACCGACCAACAGACGAATTCGCAAGTCAGCAGAGCAACAAGCACTGGCACATGCATGGCCAACGCCTGTACCGGAAACACCTCCGGTCAGCACACTGGCACCACAACTTGCTGCAGGCGCACCTTCTGCAGCGGGTTCAGCAGTTTCACAACCGGCACCTTCCGGGAATGAGCGACCCGGTACAGCAGAGCACACAGGCCCAGCATCGGGCGCCAGCGCCGAACGATTCTCAAGCTCTACATCGAGCAACGCAGCACAGTCTGGAACAGCAGCGGCATCAGGCATACAACCACAGGCAGCACAAGACACTGTGACCACTACAAGACAAGATCTTGAAGCATTACCTCAACTACCTCAAAAGCGAACCTTTGAAGCAATGCTCATGGAACAGCATGACAGCATTGAACCACCACACCACACGTGGGATGGCTCACCTCCAACCAGGTACTACGAAGACCTGCACTGCACACAGTTCGCAGCAGCTGCAGCAAGACAGCTACAAACAGAGGGATATGCCGTCCTGTTCACAGACCTCGCACAGGCACCACCAGAGTCTGATGACTCTTCAGGTCCAGACAACGATACGGACCCAGCCACCAGACTCCAGACAAGAAAAGAGGCCAAGGCCTTAGAAAGAGAGTTCCCATGGCGAAGCCTTTTGAAGCTACCGCCAAAAGACATCGAAGCCTACATCCAGTCCAACCAGAAAGAAGAACGAGGCTGGATGAACTGGGGCTCCGTTCAAGCGGTATCAGATGATGAAGCCGCAGCAATACTCAGCAACCCAGCCAGACGCAAACGCGTCTTGAGAAGCTGGGCATGCTACAGAAACAAAAGCAAGATCCCAGATCAACTGCAGGCAAAAACCAGAGTCGTTGCCTTAGGGCACCTGGATCCAGATCTGCACCGTATCTCGCGGGACTCGCCGACCCCCATGCGCGTCAGTGAGTACATCCTCCTCAGCATCTACATAGCAGGAGCCAACAACCTCATGGAGAACGACCCCGTTCCCTGGCTCCTGTGGGCTGGAGATGTCAGCACCGCCTTCATGCAAGGCAGCTTTGAAATCGAAGAGAGGCCAGAACCACTCTACCTACTGCCACCACGAGATGAGATAACTCTCAAAGCCGGCACCTTCAAGGCCAAGTTGTACCTCGCGCTCAAGAACATATACGGCCTTGCAAGTGCCCCGAGGACATGGTTCAAAGAAGTGGTGAAAAGGATGCTCTCCATTGGCTACTGCCAACACCACCTCGACAAGATGCTCTTCTACAAGAGAGTCAACGGCAAGCTGGCAGCTGCACGCATCGTCTACGTCGATGACTTTCTCCTCACCTGCCGCCGTGACTACCCAAAGGAAGAGCTCCTCACCCTCTTCACACGGGGAAGCCAAAAGGAATTGACGATGGAGCAAATGCTGGAGTTCAAAGGGAAAGAGCTGACCCTGAAGAAGGCCACCAATGGCTCACTCCACCTGCACGTAACCCAGACCAAGTTCATAGAGAACACCGACAGCGGCAAAGTTCAGCGTGGGCGCATTGCTGCAGGACCGCCCTTGACGACCGCCGAACAGACCGAGTTCAGGTCAGTGACAGGCAGCCTCCAATGGCTAAGCAGCCAGACAAGACCCGACATAGCAGCATGGGTCAGCCTAGCAAACCACGGCGGAGACACAGCTCCTTCACACCTCGCCAGTCTCTACGAGACCTTGGAATACTGCCGCTCCACCAAGCACCAAGGATTGGTGTTCCAAGATGTGGCCATCAACACAGCAAGCACCCTGGTGGGCTATGCAGACTCCTCTTGGGCAAACGCCCAACAGTGCTCTTCACAACAAGGAGCATTGGTACTGCTCACCACCCCGCATTGCAGCGAGGTCAACACCAAAGCCAATCTCATTAATTGGCGCAGCAACCGCAGCAGCAGGGTCTGTCGTTCGACCCTAGCAAGCGAAGCAACAGCCTGCGACGACTGCCTCGACAGGACCTACTTCAGCAACCTCATGCTCGCCGAGCTCTTCACCGGAGACAGGCCAAAGAAGGACCTGAGCAGCTGGCGGCTCAACCAGCTGCAGGCGACGGACTGCAAGTCCTTGTTTGATGCCGTCACGGCAGAACACCCGAAGACCACCGAAAAGCGGACCTACGTGGACATCCGCAGCATCCAAGAGTTCATCAAGGACAAGCAGATGAGATGGTGCCCAACGGGCGTGATGTTCGCTGATGGGCTGACGAAAGCGTCAAAGACCCTTAGGGATCAGCTGAGGGCATGGTTGGATGCTCCCCACGCTCAGCTGACGGCAACCGGAGCAACACGAAAAGAAAGTTTTACCAGTGACAATTTGCAGTTCTGAGAAGCATGTTCGTGCTGCCCCACTTGCCGGTTCGTTAGGTGCACCTTTTGCCTCGAGTTTCCTTAGCGGAAAAGGGAGCGCTCGCATCAGCACGCGATGCGCTGAGACTTGTTACTAGAAGCGATGCACTCGTTTCTAGTAGCTTCTTGTTACTACTAGTAAGGCACTTGTTACTAGA